CAGGCGGTGCTCCAGCGGGGTCTTTGCAGCTTGCGATGTCGACCCCGCCTTTCCTTGAGAGGCACTGGCAGACGCCCTGAAGTCCAACTGTGGTGTCACGCACATCAACCTCAAAGAGAACTACATCGGAGACGCGGGGGCCAAGGCCAGGCGGTGCCCATGGTGTCTTTGCAGCTTGCAATGTCGACCCTTTGCTCCGCTGAGAGGCACTCGCAGATGCGCTGAAATCCAACCGAACCGTCACCGACATCAACCTCGGTGACACCAAGATCGGAGACGCGGGTGCCGAGGCCAGGCGGTGCTCCCATGGGGTCTTCGCAGCTTGCAAGTTCGACCCCGCGTTTCCGCTGAGAGGCCCTCGCACATATGCTGACCTCCAACAGTACCGTCACGCACGTCAATCTTGAAGACAACGATATCGGAGACAAGGGTGCCGAGGCCAGGCGGTGCTCCAGTGGGGTCTTTGTAGTTTGAAATTTCCACCCTTTGCTCCGCTGAGAGGCGCTCGCAGATATGCTGACGTCCAACAATACCGTGACCCGCGTCAACCTCGAAGCCAACATCGCCAAGGCCAGGCGGTGCCCATGAGGTCTTTGCAGCTTGCAATTTTTCCCCCTCATTTCCAAGAGGCAATCAGAGGTGTTGATACTGTCGTCGACTTCGACATTAGCATGCAGATCGGCCGGTACGACAGCGACAGCAACCTCTCTAGTGACTCTAGCCTTCCTGTGCGAGGCACTCACAGATGTTCGGAAGTCCAACCATAATGTGATTGTAGCGGTGTCAGCCGAACCAACTATCCACAGCTTCTGGCGTGAAACTTCTTTGAGCCCGGGGAGAAGTTAACCTTGTACAGGAAAACTCGGGGCCAGGCCCTTGCCCCAAGACAAGACCGGGACCTGAAAATACTTCGACAGTGGTTCAACAAATTGCTTTTGCATGGTACATTTACTGATATACTAGATTCAGATTCAGGCCCTGGTAGCCACTACTGGTGCATCGCCGAACGGAGTAAGGAAACCAAACCAGCCTGTCCTTTCGCAGGAAATGCACCACTGCTGCCGCGACTGCTGGCCTGTTTCACTGACGAGAAGACGTAAGAGTTGTTACAAAGACCCCCGCCTTGTAATGTTTTGATCAGCTGATGCAGGTTTTGGACCTGCCCCAATACCAGCAGGGCTCAAGCGCGCCCACGTGCAAGCGCAAGGGCGATCAAGTAGTATACGAAGGGTTTATCAAGGCTTCAAGGGAATGTGTTGCAAACCGTGTGCGCGCAAGAGCACGCAAAGACGAAGTGCTTCCTGTGATGGTGTGACATTGTGATATACCTCTCGAGATTTAGGTCGGGTTGAGGGTAGATTTCGAGCTTCCAGTTGCACTTGTCGCCCATCGCAGCCAAACCAGAAGTACCGGGATGCGGCCGCCCCCCGGTGGGGCAGAGGGGCTTTGGGCCATAGTCTTTTAATTCTAGCAAAATGGATGATGTATCCCTAAACCGTCCGACTCTTCGCAGCAACCTGTGCTTCGTAATTCACTTTGTGCATTGTGTGAGGCGACGGCCGTGCCACCCGAGAGAGCTTATGTACATGTAGGGTTTAGGGTTTTCGTTTGTTAGGTCCCTAAGTCCTAAACATCCTAATCCCTAAACCCTAAACTTTAAGCCCCAAGCCCTAAACTGTAAGCTTAGGGTTGAAGAAAGTCCCTTGGGGTTTAGGGGAATTTGGGGGGCTTCGGGTTTAAGAGGCTTAGGGTTTAGGGCGGGCTTAGGGTTTAGGGTTGAGGGTGCCTAGGGTTTAGGGGGCCTTTTCCGCATGGCAGGGGTTTTAGGGCTTCTTGGCTTTAGCTTTAAAGTTCAGGTTTAAGGCTTTGGGGTCAGGATTGTGGGCAGTCGGATGTGAGGCAAGCTAAGCATGTGCTGTGGGATATTGAACCCGAAACCCCCCACCCAAGCTCTCAAATCCTCCATCGTAAACTCTAAATCCGCGAGCTCGGCATCTCGAGACCCCCATAATCCCCAAGCCCTACTAAACCTGAAAGCCGGAAACTTCAACCGCCTCAGCTTTTTGCCCAACTTCCCATGCCTCCGCCGGCTCAACAGCTCTAAACCCTAAGCCCTGAACTCTACGATCCCTGACCCCGAAACCCCAAGTCCTACTAACTACGCCAAGAGCCCTACCCTCCGCCGGCTCCACAGCTCTGAGTAAGAAATTCCCTCAACCCTAAACCCCAAACCCTAGGCTTAGCCCTAATCCCTAAAACCGTAAGGGCCCGAACGACTAGGGGGATGAGGGCGATGATATGATCATGTTGGTTTGACGTGTGTCGATGGAGATTGAGATAATCCTGACAAGCTCGAGCAGGGTGGCAACTGTGTGTGTTAGTGTGCGAGGCGTAAGCCCTCGACATCTCCCGGCCAATGGCCTTCTGCTTACTCAGATGGATGGGTGGGCATGAAAAGGAGCTCACAAAGACCCGAAACTCTACCGAACATGGCGCCCTGGTGGCGTGCATTTTCGTGTATTCCTGTTTTCACTTGCAATTGGCATCCCCAGGCCATACCTTTCGTCCTCGACCGCCAGACCTCTTTGGAACGTTTCTTGCGATTACATCTATAGAAGGTTGTTCGACATCGCAGACAAGTCTTAAGTCATTCCAAACATGGGAAAAGTGGATCAATTGTGTCAGCTGTAGTGTCTGGACGAGGCAATACATTGCTTCCAAGTGCTAGGTGTAAAACCTCGTGTGAAAACCTGTAAATAGCCGAGAAATACGCGCCACCCTCAAACTCTGAACCCTTAGCCCGGAATCCTAAACCCTAAACCCTCAACCCTAACCCCTAAACCCTAAACCGTAGACGCAAGTGTAATCATACTCACCCCGCTGGCTCCAAAGCTCTGAAAGTCTCGGCGCGCTGCTCTCAGAGTTTGCAGAAGCCATGGCCCGGCAGCTTGAAGAGGCCACCTCTCTTTCGGGTTTGGGGTTTCGGGTTTCGGGCTTAGGGTTTATCGGGTTTGGGGTTTGGGGTCTTAGGGATTTAAGGGTTTAGGGTGTTAAGGGTTTAGGGTTTGGGGGTTTTGGTCTAGGGTAGATGTTGATGCTGTAGAGTATACTCCTGAACTCCCTCCTTCTTCGCCGGGAATGGCGGAATGGGTTGTGAGAACGAATTATCATCAAGGACCTTAAGGAGCCGTCATAGGGATCCACTCCCCCCATCCCCCGCAAAGAATCAGAGAGTTGAGAAAGGCACCCACTTTAGATCCCTAAACCCTAAACCCTAAACCCTAAACCCTAAACTTTACTTTAGATTAGGTGAAGCATCCTCGGCTCGGCCGGGCAGCATCCTGGAGCATCCATGCCCGGGATTATACGCATAACAAACTGCGGAAGACGGTATAGGAGACCAGAGAAGGTTTGTTTTACCCATCACGGGGCTTCGGAGTTCTAGGATCCCATGAGAAGTTCCGGACGTCCCTCCTGCGTTTTGGTGTTTGGGCTTCTCAGTCCCGCCTTCTGGCTTCGAGGGTTTGAGGGTTGAAGGGCCCCCCCCAAGCACAGTCGAGCTGTCTCGCGTTAATGAGATCTTAGGGGCCTTCTTGCAGGCTGCAAGCTTCAATTTGGGGAGGGTGGAGGATTGCGTGCTCAGGGAACTCGACAACAAGCGGTCCTTGGATGGTTCGGGTTATCATATCTTACCTCTCTCAGTATCGCTTCTGTCACGAGTTCTGAATGATCATCAGCCAGAAGACTCCAAGGAACCCTAAACCCTAAACCCTGAATCATGGGTCTTTGGGGTCCTGCGGAGCGCCCACTGGCTTCATGTAGCAACGTTTTCCGGTGGCATGCCATTAAGCCCTTACGCCCCAAAGCCTTGATCCAGGTCTGAATAGCTAGTACTACGAGCTAGCCACGACATATTCCAGCTCCCGGCTGCAACTGCCATGTAAAAAACCAGGCCCTACTCTACTCTTTAAATTCCTTACAGCTCCACAACCGACCCCATAGCTAGACACAGTCCCTTCATGGAGCAACAGCGTGACAACCTGCGACAGTGCAAGCTCCACATGGTAGTTGTTCAACATATCTTGCCACCCCAAACGGGCAGAAGGTAGGCTCCTTTTCCGAGTCAGGTTCCCCGAACCCGAAACCCACAAACCGAAGCCTGAAACCCTAAACCCTGAACCCCAAACCCTGAACCCGAAGCCCTAAACCCTAAACCCCAAACCCTGAACCCCAAACCCCAAACCCTAAACCCGAAGTCCTAAAC